CGTGGCGCTATCTATGAATGTATTTAGCGTTAATTTATTTCAAAGATAATAAGCGCTCAGTAACAGCAATAATGGGGGGTGGAGGGGTTGTGAATCCCCCATTAATATACCTCTTATTTCAAACTATCATCTCACAAAGTTTGGTTGTGATACACTCAGCGACCTAGGAATAGTTAGATAACGGACAAACAGACAGACACAGATTTTTGTTGATATATATATAGATCGATAGATACACCATCAGTTTGTCATCACTAAAGTTATCATGTAAGCGCATCAACCATGAGTTCGTTATCACTAAGGTTATTGTATAAACTCGTCAACCATGAGCTCGTCATCACTAAGCACTCTTGTAAATATATCAACCATGAGCTCGTCATCATTAAGGTACTCTTGTAAACACATTAATATTGAGTCTATCATTAGCTGTTAAGATCTTCTATTTATTCTTGAAACAGTTATATTTCTTTATATTTTTCTTTTCTGCTGTTTATGTAAAGGTAAAATTATAGACCTCTTGGTTTAAGGTATTTCTAGCCCATTTTTTTCACCCTTTTTTGAAAAATATATATTTGCTACTTTAAAACGTCTACTTTCAGTTTCTGCAACACATACATATTCCTCGAAAATCATAATCCTGAACTGAAAATCTTCCCATAGCAACTGCCCTAGCAATGGAATTCATGGCAATTAGCAACCTCTTTGGTGGTAATTTGCTCAATTGTTTTGACACAAACTCAATGCATAATAAAGTGGAAAATACTGCAGGGAATAAACCAAAACATGGGTAAAAAGTTACACCCTAACTATAAGAGGTCTGTAACTGGAGGGTTTATTTGTAGTGTTGAAAATAAATACATTTTTTTGTTTTTCTTTTCTTCTGTCATATACTGACATTTGTGGTGCTAGGTTCTTGTTTTTCCTTTCTTCTTAAGCCTTAAATTGATGTATAATTTAGTTGGGTAGTGTTATTAGTTTTCTAGACATTTTGTGTTTTTAGATAATCTGAATCCAAGCTCATTAATATGCACATACTGATGAAATAATTTGCATAATTAATTGGAAGTAAATTGTTTTGTGTTATTTTCAAGTTCATCAAAGTTTGAGGTCTTTAGTTTGTCCTAAAGTCCAAAACTAGTAATGCATATATCAATGGGCTATAAGCACCTTAATTATGACGTGCTTAGCATCACTTTGTTTTTAAGGAAACCTAAAAGCTATACACTCTTTTAATAACACTCTATATCTGTAAGCTGGATGTTTCATTTTATCTTGATTATTACTTCCTTATTCATCCAGTTTGTAAATGACTAACTTAGATCTTAACTGTATCCTTTGAACAATACTTTCCTTTTCAAGATTTCTAAACATATGAACCAGATATTTTACAGCTTTCATTGAGTTTTTACTGCTGAGTTGTAGGCAATGCCAATACTGAAAGAAATAAATATTCCATGTCTTTAGCACTCTACACAAACTTTTTACTGTAGATGTATGGTAATTTATTTCTACTTACCAAGGCATTTGATATTGTTATTACAGTGTGCATTTATGGAAAGTTTTCAGACTCAGACTAGTAAGCACTTATATAAATCTGTCTTTACCATTAAATGTTTTATCCTGATTATGGTTGTTGTTACTCAGTTCACAAAACACCAGATTCTCTGATACTTAGTCATTGGGGATACATTTTTAAACCATAAACTTTTAATGTTCAATTCTACTTGAAATACACTCTCTAATCTGTCTGTTCATTAATATTAACAACTATGTTTTGATTATGTCACTAAAGAACTCGAGGTATAGCCAAAATATAAAATACTGTTTTCTTTTTATTTTAGAAATAAAATAGTACTGTCTGAACAATAAACAAATAAAATAATAGATAACACACAAATGAGACTCAATAAACATATATTGGCTCTACATTTCATAAGTTGAATATTTCATCAGTTTATGTTTTAAGCACATAACCATTGCATTCAAGTAAAAACACTGTGCTTGTGGATTGTGTATCAACCCCTGAAGATGGTATATTGTTGAAAGATACATAATTTATTAGAGCAAAACCACATGGATTTTATCTTTGTTAATTTGTGATTAGTGAATAATTTTTAAACAAGACATACTGCCATAGATGCCCATTACAACAGTATCAGTTTACAAATTTTTAAACGAACTCCTTAGAATCAGGATTAGAAAATCAGATTAATTTATCATGTTTTAGTACTATAATTTTTTACAACCTCAAAAAAATAATAGAGCACTGAAAACACACAAATCCTTGTTTCTCATACAATGTTATCCCTTATAAATATGGAAAAATATGGGTTAAATGTTACCAATAAGTGATTTGAACAAACATTTTCATCATAAGTGCCATCCTTTTTTTTGACAGAATACATTCTCTCATTTTTTGTCAAAGCTTTAGCTTTTGAACTTGAAGTAATAAAAACTATGCATTCCGAGTTTCCATTCTTATATTCCTCATAAACACATGAATAAAGTTGGATGAATCATTAGAGATTTTAATTGTTTACATCTTTTTAATTTGTTTTATGCAATTTTAATAAACATGAAAAAGAAAACTGATAATAAGTGCAGAGGGAAATAATCCAATCTAGAAAGCAGTCACAAACTTCAGATCTATGTGTTATGTGCAATACTGAGTTTCTTAACACAAGAACTGCCAAGGCCATCAATTTGATGGTTTCAATATTTGCACGTATGAAAGATACGCCATTTTCCCTTCATGACTTTTCCTAAATCCATGTATTAAATACCCTGACAGTGTTTCAAAGGCATAATTGCAAAATTGAAAAGATAAAAGTTATGATCACTTTTACCTAGAACTGCCAAAGACCTGTCAATTTGACTGCTGTTTACAATACATGCTTTTATTCATAACAACATACAGTATTGCAAGTAGCCTGCAGTTTCAGTACAGATGCTTGTTGTTCTCTTCCAGCTCTTTGATTACATTATTTTTTGATTATATTTTGGCCCTTGAAGTCTTAAAGAACAGATGTCTGTTTGTCAGATGATGTGAATGAATCTTAATACAATCTTCCGAGAATCCTAGCAATTCCCATAAGAAATGGCATTTGCTTGTCTGTCGATTTGAGTATATTGTAACATTGTCTATCTGCAATTCTGTCAATTCCCATGAGAAGTGGTGTCTGCTTGTCCTTTGATTTAAGCATACAGAGGAACTGACAGAGACTCAGAAACTTAAAAATGGCTCAAAGAATATGAATGTTTCACAACTTTGTCCAAAAATTATTCTGAGGCAGAGAGTGCGAGTTATCATGAAAGTGATGATTCCTGGGTTTGTGAAACAGACAGTCCTGCAAGTGAAAGCGCCACTACAAACAAAACAGCTCTCCAGATGCAGAAGAGGTCATAGCAGAAGCAGTAGTCCTGGACAATTCTCTGCAGTGCCAGCCACCTTACCTGTGTCATTTCCTCCAGCAGCTGTGGGTGCTTAAGCTCTGTCACCAGTAGGGGTGTGTATCTCATCATAGCAGTCAATACAATATGTATCTAGGTATTGATGCCGTGATACGATACGTATCTAGATACAGAAGTTTTACCAACGGTTTGTTACAAAGTTTGACAGTCTTCTCTGTAATTTATTATCTATATTACAAACAATGCCTTATTTAAGTACATCACACTTTACAGTGCTTTTTCAAATTCTCAGGTTTGATCATCTAAATGGCAGCTGGCAAGAGAAGTAAAATAAAGTTAATATCTGTCTATCTAATGTTATGTTACTATGCATGTAATGTTTTTGATAAAAGAAATGAAGACAACATGTAGTACTCAATACTCATCTTCCTTTATTGAATCATCAATTTTTAGCAAAAATACTTTATTAGAAATTCTGATTTTTTCTGTACAAAAGACTTGTAATGCTTACTGAAAGCTTGCCAGATTTCATGAAGATACTTAAATCATATGATATCACAGCTTCACAATACAATTGTATCACAGCTTCATGATATGATACTTGTATCACATTGCTGTATCACCACACCTTTCATACAGAAGATCAGGAAGGATGGAACAATTTGGGAAATTATGAATTCTAGTGTTTCGGCTGTAATTACATTTGATTTGATGTTCTAAAATAAAACTTTGAGTTGTATCCAATAACCTGTCTTTCATTTTCACACCGACATTGTAATATGTAGCAGTCAAAATGATGGTAATATGACAGTTCTAGGTATAAGTGAAACCCTGGCAGCTCTGGTGTTAAAGGATGGTCTATGGAAAAGTGAAATAACACATATGAAAAGTCATAGATATTTATATGGTTTGTTTGTCTAATATTTGGTTAAGCATTGTCAAAGGATGGTACTTATTTTTCAACAAAACTACATTTGAAGCACCCTTTCTATCTTAAACTGAAATTTTGCTTTCTGGACCTGAGGAAGAAAAATCATTCAAAATTTAATTTCATTATTTAAAAAAATTTCTGGGAAATATATGTTAATCATTTTACTTACCACTTAATTTTCTGTTCGCTAAAGCCAATTTTTAGTATGGTTTTTGTTTAACTTACTTTGCCTTAAACTGCCAATTCTTTGATACACATCAATAAGTCTATTGCTTACTTTTAGTTTACAGCTAGGATCAGCAAGTTCCTCTCAAGAAGACCGAAGTCCTACTCTGCAGCAACATCCAGGATTGTATGGCGAAAATCTTAATGCCTCCTTACAGGTAAGACAGCAGTTTGTTCACTTTAACTTGGAGTTACATTTATGTAATCAAAAGTAAACATCTGGTAAACACTTCAGCGCCTTGAAAGAAAAAATAAACCGGCATATAAAGATTGGGTTCTTGTTGCACAAAAGTAATTATAATATTAATTATAGCTATTCATGTTATACATATTGCGAACAGTGGTGTATGTCAGAGCATTCATTGTCTTCTGTTTATGGCAACTGCTACCCACATTGCATTTGAAAAGCTGTGTACACAGGCAAAGCTCAACATTCACTTTTGAAATGATGGGAGAACAGGCATGAATAATTTTAATGCCAAATTTTATTTCGCATGCTGGTTATTCTACACTAAATTGTTAGGAATTAATCACACTATCATTCACATTTCAAAATGTGACGTAACTTAAACAATAAAAATGTAGATTTACCATATGTTATTGTTGAATGCCTCTTAACATGACTGAAATGCTCAACAGTTACTTTCCACAGTGGGCAGTATAAGTAGCTCAGAGCTTTAGCTCCGAGTGAAACCAAGAGTACAACACAACCTTTTAAAAGTCCATGAAATCATTTAAATTGATAGATTAACTTTTCCCATCACTGGGGACAGGTACTTTTGCTAGATTAACTTAAACTATTCCCATCACTGGGGATGGGTAATTTTGCTTGTTTTTTTTTATGACTTATCAGTTTATTATTTAATCACTGTTTCCACAGGCTGCACTTGCAGAAAGTAATCTTGCTTTTCTGAAAACCACAACATCGGGAAATAGTAGTGTTACCTCTGCTATCATGTCCACTCCTCCTCGATCAGCTATCTCTCCCTCTTCTTCAATGATGGTTAGGGTTAGTGAAGGATTCAGTAGCAACTTGATGATTCAAGGTCTGAATGGAGATAGTCTTACAAGGTAATAACGTGGTTCTTTTGTTACTACCTAAGATGTTACAATAAGAGTTATGTATACATATGTTTGAGAAGAGTCTGTAATAACACATTAGTGATATTACTCATTAACACTTTTGAACATAATTTTCAACTTGCCACCCACCTTCTGCCAAATTCATTTTATCTAAGAGCCACTAAAAGCAAAAATCATATCACACTAACAAGACAACTAAGTATCATTTTTGAAAAGCCATACTGAATCGTTTGCACAATTTTGGAACTGCCACTTGAAACTCTCATACCCTTTTCTCCAGTATGTCATGATCCATCTGTATAATAGCCTAATAATTATTGACTGTACTTTAAAGAAAACTATGAATGACTCTATGCTCAATTTCAGTTTGTTTCCTTTTTTTGCACAGTTCCAGAGATTATCAACTATACATGATTTACCCATACTTCTCCAAATCTGTTAATTGTCCAAAAACACAATAACAAAATATTAATGGATTAGAAAATTTAACAGATATATTTGCCAACTGGTTTCCTCTTATTGCAGTCTGTTCACGATACTGTTGTAAGAATGTGACAATTAATATTGTTGTAGGCTATGTTTTTAAAAATTTAACTTAGATGTTTCTATTGTTTGCTAGAGAGAGTTTTGATGTGATATGATGAGCATGTGACTCTTGGAATTTTCTTGGGAAGTGATTTGAAAGGTATAAAAACAAGAGTTAGAACAGTGTAGGTTTGAAATGATTATTGAGATAACAAGTGTGTTAGCCAGTTTGTCTGTTACTTGATAAGTTTATCTAGTTTTGTGAATGTTGAGTTTGTGTTTCAATGAAGTACTAAAGATATGGAAGAAATTAGCAAGTAGAATTATTTGTAGAAGAAGAAATAAGATACTTGTCTTTTCATTATGTAGACTAAAGTATGCATTATTCTTCACCAAATAATCCAAAAGAACCAGAAACAGTAATACACTGTGGCTGAGCAGTTTCAGCTGGACATAACTGCATATTCTTCCATTAACAGCAGGTTATACACATTCAAATGCATCCATTATCAAAATATGTAAATATACATATGGGTTTTCATCTAAAGCTTATGCTATAAGAGCAGAGGACAACAATCTGAGATCCCATCAACCCACTTAGCTCTTTAAAACATTTTTATCTTAAATTTCCATTTGTGACCTCTCTGAATAGAAAATACAAGTTCCATGTTTATATAGACATAATAAACTCTTAGCTTATACAATTTGTGTTTCATATCCGGTAGACTCAATCCGATGCATATTGTTGCATTTCTTTTTTTTTCCCATGAAAAGCTTCTATCTTACTGTTTGTAGTAAAGGTTATAAAAGGTTTAAAATGTATGATTCTTTAACAAAAAGTAAAATGAAATCATTCAACAAAATTAAGAAAAAACTGCAAATTTTCTTATGTGTCATTTAACACATCTCGTAACAACATTAAATTATAACACTTACGTACTTTGTAAACTTGAACCATTCAATCAGTTGACCTATCAGTGAGATGTAGTGGTTTGCAAAGTGTATTTGGGTGTGAAAACCCATAAATCATGTAACTGTCAAACTAAAAATATAGGTGTATTGCACATATACTGAAAAACATCAGGGTCATTGTATTTAAACTACTTAAATTAGTAACATGCTACATTGTCAAATTTCTCATGACAGATTGTTGTGTATAGGAACTTGAGAACAATTAACCGTGGAAAGATCCCCTTTCTCATCCAAACATTATGTATCTTTAGCTGATGTTACAGTTGAAGACAGACTGCAGTTCTGGATATCAGAAGTTGAAACTATTATTTTGACCAAACAGACTAATTTCAATATTTCTTTTGGTTGTCAGTTGCAATTCTCTCTGATCATAGTAAATATCATTGTATTTTATCCTTTCATAACCAGTGTGGAGTTCATCTTTATCAAGGTATATTCAGGGAATTTTTCTAAATTATCATACAGGTGTTCTGAAGGTGATTGCAGCAGTCTTGCAAACTAGATGTTGGAAGGTTTTAGACTTACACTAATCTTATACCTGCTTTTTCCTGTTTCTGTGTTAGTCCCCTGGATTAAGGTTATACACATTCCAAGGAACGATACAGAGACATCAACAAGTTTGTGATTTTCAAATATCACATATTTACAACTACTAATCTAATACAGTCGCAAACTAATTGAGAGACAGGTGAAAACTAAAGATTATATAACAGCTATGCATGTTTAAAATTGTTAATGTACAAGAGAAAATGAAATATATATTATTGCATGTAAAGTTTGACACTGTACCATATGTAGGACAATTTTACTATAAAAGCTCTTCCGCCAGTCAAAGCATTCTACAATGAAGAAACAATACTTTCTAATTATATGAAGTATCTACACTGCATGAATAATACTAAAATATCCTGTATTTCTCTATGATTTACTTAGAAATAAAATTTTAGTAATTTATTTCGACAATCAAGGGCGTGAGAACCAGACAGTATTTGCATCTTTTAGTCTACTAGTAATACATATGGCCACTTTTCAAAGTTGCCTTTAAATCAGGATTTGTACGGGCACTGAAAATTGAACAGGTAACTAAAAATCAAATATAACACACCTGTCTACACCTTTAAAATACATTGATTTAATATGTAAGAAAATAGCTAACCATATTTATTTGTGCTTTGCTTATTATGAAAAACATACAATTTTACATATATATTTTGTTTACATATAGTGACTGACCTAATTAATTGTTAGATGCACTTTGAAGTATTAATTTTTGTTAGTTGCAACATTCCTCTCTAACTCTTAAAAATTTTCTTTTAAGCAGTCATTCAACAAATGGAATCCAAGTAAAAGATGAACCGATAGTAGAAGAACCACCAGACACAGAAGAAAGTTCAGATAGTAACCACCAGAGGGCAGCTTTCCCTCACATCTCCAGAAATGGTGGCCACAGAGAAGAAGAAATACCTGTTGAAATGGACGAAGCAGAAGATCTGTCATTCCCTTCCAATCACACCTCGGATAAATCTCCTAACTCTTGTCTCTAAGTATTTGCATTTCGACACACATTAAACCATACTAAACGGGCAATATTACGGCAATGGACACAGCTACATTATAGGATAATCTAATGGACTTTTCTTCCACAAAGTTTTTGTCTGCCCTAACCATATCCAGCAGTATCGTTCATTTAGCAACTACAGCATCACACAACCACAACACAGTAAATGTGGCATAACTGTATTATGAGGAACCCAGTTCAAGGTAAAATCATAACACCACAGTACGGTTTACTAATATGTACACTTCAGTATACCAGTAACACAGACTGCATATCTTGCCATATTCGTGTACTACAAGTAACACAAATGAACACTATTATACCACATTAACGTCAATAACACAAGTCTAATTACTTGTGCATTACTGTAGTAATATTGGCAACACAAGTGTAATTACTATCATGTTACATAAACAGCACATGTATAGATATACCATTACACTACAACAATAAGGATAACACAAATATTATTACTACAATATTACAGTTGTAGAACTTGCCTAAATATATCATTATGCTACATTAATATCAATAACACAAGTTCTAATTATTACCATATTACAACAATAGCACTAGTAGATATAAAAGTGAATAACAGTCTGATATTGTTACCGATGCTATAACACAACAATAACATCTATGACATATTTAGTACAGTTGTTACAATAGTCATATCTAAGCTAACATTACTGCTTAGAGACAACTGAAGAGTTTAAACAAATTCAATTTTTAAAATAATGTAGTCTTTTGTTTTTTATTACAACATTTACATATTTTTTTCAAGTGCAAGAATTTCACTTAAATTGGTTTGAATAAGAACTCTAGATCCAATAGACATACCTAATTTTACTAGGTAATATTTTGTAGTGACTTCAGACACCAAGATCTCTTCCATTTTATTAGTTTTGTAATATCACAGGTATTTGTTTTGTGGAGGTTTTTTATATAAACCAATTACTATCCAGTTTACAAAAAACATTCAACTTACTGCCACAGAAATCTGTGCTGGCATTGTGGATTCTGAGATTTTGATGTTACCGAAAGAAAGCTACAGCACCTGTACAACTAGTATTCTGATCCTGCCAGGACCTACTCCAACTCTAACAGTTAGTGTGAGAAAACTGGAAAAATAATACAAATCAATATTATAAGGGATCATGTTCCTGCTAGTGATCTGGTGTAAATGAGCACATTATTGTGGGAAGAACCTAGTTATATGTATGGTTTGTAAAAGATCCTAATCCTGCCAATATGTCTTGAGTTACACAACACATCAAATTTTGTGTGAACAATCTTCAGCTCCTGTATAGACTGTAGAAGATGCTGTTGCTAGTACTGTGCCCCGGAGTACTTTACAATTAGCGAAATGTGTGAACTTACTGTATAAGTGAAAAGATACTGAAACTGTGACAAATGCAGCAGTTTGGGGGACTGATAAATTTAAGCTGTGTTCAGCACATGTTAAATTACCCGATACATGGTGATCCGTTAGATAGTTGTGAAACGCAGTTAGTGCAGTAACCTCTTAGTGTGCTTGTCGTGAAACAGCCTCAGATTTGGGTGTGCTCTGTAGCAGCTAAGTGTAAGTGAATGCATTGTGGAGCATCTACATCTTATATAAAACTTTATTCATACTGGTATATTTCAATGATGAAAAATACAACCATAGAAGACTACGTTTTCTACTCATAAATCTGTTGGCATATTTCGCTGTTGCGTGATTACTACTAAGAGAATTATGGAACATTTAAATAATTTGTGGAAGAGATCTGAGCTAATATGTACAGTACATGCAACTTAAAGGTTGAAAGACAAATCACCATTACAAAATAACGTGGGACCTTATTGTTGTGTCTTATGGTCATGTTAAATACACCAAGTAAGTGGAGTACTGTAGAAACCTGTGGCAACACAAATATATACACAATGTGTTACACAAATTCTTTTAAGCACATTTTACAAAGAAAAACTTGTTCTGAAGGCGTGATGAAACGTATACATCCAAAAATCAAGTCTGGTTACTCTGAGAGGATGAAGATGTGTCATATGGTGTGTTGAGATTTTGGTAATCCAGTGAAACTTTTCATAAATTCTCATGTCAAGGCTAGGAAGAGAATAACTTAATGCATAAGTGACAGTGTAGTTCAGTATCTAGATCATCAGTGTGTAATAGAGGAAACGAGTGAAGTTTTCATTCCTAGTATGTGTAAAGTCATAGTTATATTAATGTTACTTGTATGTGCCTGTCTCTATAATAGATCTGTTGTCCTGTTCACACTTCTTTCTAAAGTATGTGAAAATTACCAACGTGTAAAATTTTCTTCTAAAAACAGAACTCATTTACATCTAGCACCACTTCTGAAATTAAGAGTTGAACAAGAAAAAATTCAGTAGCCACAGCTGAAGATTTTATCAATTTTAAGCAGTGTAAAACTATCTTTCCATAAAGGCTTGAATTCTATTGTAATCATTCAGTTCACTCTCTAAACTTGTTTGCATGCCCATATAAACTGGGCCAGAGTGAGTTTAGTGAACTGTATTTTAAAAAATATTGTGTTAGTTGAGTTTCATTGTTAATTTGTTCTATGTGGTATAAACAAAACATAAATAGATTTAAGATGTATTTACTAGTTTTTTACTATTGTAAGTTAAGGCTTAAAATGATGTATACTGAGTGAATGATAATAAGTTCACACAGAATTATTCTGTAAGAAGGAATTTTTTGTTCCTTTTTTATTACTGAGAGCTGGAAAATACAACCCAAATGCTGGTAGAGGAAGTAACTATAAAGTTTGTATTATTCTGGTGTGCTGAGTGAAACAAGAGACCCATTTAGTTTGATTTCCTGAAGTAAAAAACCTAACCTAGAATTGGAATATTATAGTGTAAATTTTGTAAAAAATTCAGAATATATTTACTACAACGAAAGATATTATGCAAAAAAAAGAATATGTTTAAATTTTTTATGACTTTTGAAGTAAATAATTCTTGCAATTCAGTGCATCACATATCCTTCATTTCTGAAATTGAAAATACTCCTGGAGAATATTGCATTACTCTTAAAAAATTAAAACACGTTTAATGTGAAATACAATTGTTCCCTTTACTTTATCATAGGTCTAACTAGAATTTGAGGAAAAAGCTGGGTCACTGTTAATCAGTGCAATGTAAAGGTATTCCCCATAGGGTGTGTCAAGAAACAAAGAATCTGTATACTTTTAGTCAGTTTCACCAAAGATAATTATATGGTACTACTGTTATTAAGGTTACACTATATATTGAGGGTCACATACTTAAGGAAGTTTACAAAGGGTTGTGAATAGTATATTTTATATGCAAGATTTCAAAACAAAAATATATGGAATGTGGGATTAGTAATTCATGGACTCACATTCTGCAATTTCTTATATTCTTAGTGAGTAACTTACTAGATATATTTGCAGGAAATCTGTTATCATGACTGTATAATTAAGTTACTATTACATAGGACAACAAAATAAAGACTGTATATCTATACATCCATGAACAAGACTTGATCCACTTGTAACCTAAGATAAGACTGCTAGTTACAGCTTACATTTGGTTTTAAAATTTATCCAAGATGTTTGAAATGATGTTTTATTTTGAGATGTAATTTCCACATTTATCAGTCACATGGAAACAATTTTTTAAACTATTTTTGCTGTGAAAGGGAGTGTTGACTGATGTCAAAGAACATAGTTGATTCTTTTTCAATATAAACGAAAGAATCAGTTTAAAAACTAATTAGAAGTTCTACGACATTTCATTAAAAAAACATTTATGTAATTACGGAAAAATAATGGTAAACGAAACTCAGTTGCTACTTTTCCGTTTTTATATTGGGATTCTTGGCTTTACCCATGAAAGAAGTGGTTGATAATTATATGATCTCCAATTTTGAAACATGACGCTAATTAATAATGACAAAAGTGAAGAAACTACATAATTTAATTAAACCGCATCGAGAACTTGGTTTCAATTGAATTTATGTTAACTTATGCAATTTGAATTGTTTATGAGTACATATAATTGACTTCAACTTTCTTGATATTCCTGTCCTTATGCAAAATTAATTTTTTATAGCATTTGGTCACTGCAAAGTTTTAGTTGTGTTTGTAGACAGGTTTGTTTTGATATCCACTACCTGAGTTATAATCTTAACTCCTTCAAGTCATTACCCTCCAAAAAGGGAGGTTAATTTATTTGGCCATGGGATAATTTTACGCATTGTAAATCTGAAAAGAGAGAGAGTATCATCTTTGATGAAATGCTGTTAAAACACTGAAATTATGTCCAGTCCAAACATTCTCATGACTTCTGCATGCACAGTGAAATCTATCATGAAGCAAATGAGTTAAATTGGATTATTAGAAACATGATTATGAATAAACTGTAATTATGACTAGAAAAACTCCCAAATATTCAGTGTGTTCCTAATAACACAAGGCAAATGATTAGAGCAAAACTATTTTTTTCTTCATCTTTGTGTGATTTAATATGCTAAATTTGGACAATGGGTATTATGAATGGATAAGTATTTAGAAAAGTTTGTATTCTTCTTTGGATTGTACGAAACTTCAAGAAAACCTTAATGAAGTGCTTTAACAAAACAAGATACCTGTAGTAACTTTTGATCTTTAAAAGTTATTTTCATTTTTAAATATAGTATTTAACATCAACACTTTAATGAAGCATCTTAAAAATAGCAATTTACAAAATAAGTTAAAAGAAATATTTGTTTCATCTGCTAACAACTGTATCTTCATTTTTGTTATAGTAACAAAGTGTGGCTTCGATATAATTAAAATTTTCTAGATAAATGATAAAGCTTTATATGATAGATGTACTAGTCTTATTGGCTTACTGGGTATTAATTTCACCTGTATTTTTTTTAGTAATTAAGTATTGGCTTCAAAATAATTTGTTTAATAAATACAATTGGCTTAGACACAAATAAAAAACAACGTTTTTTGTAATATGCATGTTACTTTTGTACTTTTTAAGTATAGTAAGTATCTGTAAAAACTTTTATAACATTTTTCTTTTTTGTCATAATTGTAGGTATAAACTGAAAATTAAATTCAAACCAGGATCTTACAATCTTTGCAACTGTAAACTGAACATTCTAGTAGGGTTTTTTACCTTTTCCAAAAATTTCTTGTGAGAAAAAAACAGTGGGGATAAAATATGTCCTTAATCTACAAGAGAATTTGCTTATTAACAGTAAGATGAATATACATATATTTAGTAAATGCTTTCTTATGAAAGAACCAATTATTTAATCTAGTTGCTGTAGGGACACACAAGACAACACTAGTAATCATGTCACACACAAATAACATTCACAATTGTGAGGTGAGTTAATGCATTATTTAATAAGAATTAGATACATCAATAATGTCTTTGATGTTTTCTACCTCTATGACATGATATTCCTATTAAAATATGTCACAAAAGTTTATTTTCTGCCCATGTTAAAATTCACTCGCTGGAATCCCTGAAGCTGTACATTCTACTATTTAAACTGCACAATTCTTTGTGATTTTTTCTACCCTATAATTTGTAAGTTTATGCTCTCATTGTTTGTTTTTTTTTGTCATATTAACATACAAAAAATTCCAAAATTATTTTTTGTTTCTCTGTCTTCTCCCACATATGAAAGTTCAAAGTAGTGTTTTGAAAGTGCCAAAGACACCAGTTGTAAAGTTTCTGTCAAGTGTTTACAGGCTGTTTCATTCCATGTATTGGCAGCTTTTATTTATATTACACACAGTGATCTGAATGATCAAGTATAAAGCAACATTTATTTTTTCAAATGTATGAATTGTAATTTTCTTACACAGACAAATGCTTTACAACCAACTTATACACTTTGATAATAACATTAAGCTGATATTAAGCAAAAAATAATCTAAACAACACAATTATTGTCTGTTTCATTCCATTGAAATCATAATTCAAGACATGCCAGTCGTGTGCGTAATAGGATATTATTTCTTTCCCATCTCAAATTGTTTGATCTATTCCAACAAATAAGACTAGTTCCTTGGGTATGACTTTACCAATAGCCAGTGTTCTCAAACTCATGTACACAACATCTAGCTCACACTGCATCATGCCTGTTTTATTTTATTGTATAACAACTTCAACTTCACACGATACACTTTCCTTGTAAAAATATTACCTGCAGATGTCTTTGACCTTATTTCAACTGAAGTTGTTCATGATATCTTGCTCCTTGTAGCCTTCAATTCTAGCATATCTTAATACTCTAGTTTTGTTTAAAAACAACAAAAAACTGGTGCTGGAGGAATATATATTAAGGAAGCAGCAGATCTGTTAAAGATCATTTCACTGTTGATGGAATGAATTAATCGTTGCTGAACTTGCCTCATGGCATTAAAACATCATCTTAATACAAGTGTAGTAGTTATTTGAAGACATAAGACTTAATATTTTATTTGTTTGAAATCTTGAAGAACATATTGAGCATCTACAAGTAATAATAATTTTGAAAGTTTACATTTAATAAAATGTATTTTGACTTTTCAAAGAGACATAGAGGTATTTTAACCTTTCACTTTCTACATTTATATCCTATAATAAATTGACATGAAGAAAAGTTCTACACAATAATGGTCACAGTATGTGTTAAACTATGTCAAAGCACAGTAGTTAAGTAAATACATGTATTGTCTAGAGAATAACTAAAAACAAGGCTACTTAAATATGAAACTTTTTTCAAATAATTTTGGAACCCTTATGGTTAATTCAAGTTGTAATTCATGTACCAAACTGATGAATAAGCCCTTAGTGATTGACATTTTAACCAATATAAATAAATATCTTAAGATAGTGCACTGTAAGAGATGCAAGGAAAGTTCATGTACTTTAAAGAAAATTGTTTCATTCATCCTGACCATATCTTGGAATTAAGTAATTGTGTATATAAAAACCAAAATCCTGGTTGGGAACATATCTTAGTGGCCATTTTTCAAGTGAGGTGAGTTATACAGCCATAAAATTAAACAAGCTACTGACTCCAGCTTCCATTAGGACATAACCAACTGAAGACAGTGGGCTTTATTTTGAGTATACCTAACTTGGTATTTGGGTGTACATAGTGGTTAACTTTCAGTACTTTTAAAGTATTATCTTTACAACTGTATTCTTGGTTTGTATTAAGTTGCATCACACTATTGAATGCATTAATGTGATTTTCCAAGTATTATCAAGGTTGCATATTATTTAACACTTGTGTAATTAAGATGCATGTAACGTTTCTCGTGATCTTAACAGTTGTACAAATAATAAATGTTTATATGTAGAAATCTGAAGAAAGACTCTTAAATTTCAGCATGTATACAGAAACTTTCATTCAAATATCTTTTCACTTTTAATGTAAATGAATATTACAGCCAATCTAGCTCAGATGAAGTATGTTACAGATGGTGTGGCTAGTTTTTTAAAAGTTGATGTCACAAGCACATATGTCAGAAAACTTTCTGACTCTAGTTTAGTTACTTTTGTGTTTACCCAGATGTTTTAAATTTGTGACTTGTTATTGTAAACCTTGGTGATAGTGAACTCATAATGTATTGTGCGTCCAGTGTTTTATAGTAACAGTAACAAAGAAAAGAAGTTCTCTTCTAAAAGAGTGCTATTCTAGTCCTAGAAATGTTCCTCTCGTAGCCTATTTTTTTACATATTTAGAGCTTAGAAAAACCTGCTATAAAACCAATGGACCATTTCAATTTCATACTCGAACATGTGTTTGTAGTATATATAAGGCTGAGCCACAATGTATTGCAGCAATAATTTTAGATTGAGAACTTGTCATTCAGAGAGTAGTAGTATGTACACCAGAAGTGTAGGTAATGTAGAACTGCTATAAAGGACCAATAAAAACAAATACTGTAGTTTAATTTGTTGTGGTGGTTTTGATTTGTTCATAATATTATGGTTCAATGTGGAAATCTGAAGTGATTGACCTAAATAAATGTTGGCAGACTAGATTTAAATAAAAGTTTGTTGTATCTCCTGGTAGCATAACTACTTATACCACCAGTTAATTTGCATTGTTATTTATAGACATCTACACATTTGATAAAGGAAAATCACATGATGAATGTTTAACATCTACTTTTTGCACGATAACTACTGTTCTAAACAGCAGATTTTAATTAAACTTCACAGGTTAATTCCCTTGGAACACACATAAAACATAAATTTTCAAAGTCCCTAAGATTTCTCAGTAAGCGTGTTGACTAAAATACAGGGTTCATTCCCCCACAATGGACATAACCAATTGTGTACGTTTGTGCTAAAACAAACATACAAACTTTACTTTTCGACAGTTGAAGCAGAAACTACATGACCACAAGTTGACCTGATCCTCCCAGGCCTTTATCCTTATTTTTGGTGTGCTGATAAATCTGGTAATTTATACACACATTTAGTGGTGGTTATAATTTTATTTACAGAGTATAAAAACTATATATATTTTTTTTTCATGGTGACCTTGTACACAGCTTAGTAATGCATCAAACTAGTTGTACCATTCCATACATAGAGGGACTGAGAGGTCCAGATAACCCAGTTAGTTGTAAGATTCTAGATATTTGTAATGTAACATCTGTTCCAGTTACAGAGGATTCTAGCTATTCTGTTGAGTAACAGTATCCTCACCTGTAGGAGACTGTATAGGTTCTGTCACCCAGTACATGCAGGGTTTCATCACAGTCAAGTTCGATCAGAATTCATAAAATCTGCAAGTATACACTTGAC